AATCGACTGCCATGTTAGAAGGTTTATTTTACACACGCATGCATAGTACAAATTCAATACAGCGCTGGTCCATTCTGACAAACACACATGAAGCGGCGTCTCACAAAATGGTGGCATCGACAATCCAGAGAACAACAGCTTTCTTCAGAGCTGGCCACACCTCTATCATCTACAGCCTATGGAAAGTCACTACACTCCATCATGTGACCAGTTCTCAGCCAATAAATACTCAACTCTCTTGTGTTCAAAATGCTGGTGCATTTCTGTTGGAAGTGTAGGCATGTAACTAAAAATTCTTCCTACTGGAAATAGAAACCAGGACCAAGAGATCCACCTTCTCTTTTAACACATAAAAATGTGATGTAAGATGCTATTAAAAACATAAAGAATACAAATAGTCACACATTACAATAAAATAATATACAGTATAGCCTGATAGAAATATTTTTCACAGACATGACAATTTCTTGTACAAAGTAGGTATGGGCATTTTAAGACAAATAAAACGCTTCACATTCTTCAGTAATTATTCATTATTTGAACGCATTTGCTTTAAAATTTACCAGGTTGAAATGGTTGGGACTTGCGGTGACATTTACTCGCTTTGCAAATTCTTGCAGCTTAAAACCCCTCGGCCGAAACAAAGACTTTAAATAACAGAGGCTATTTGTACTGCTGCTAATCATCCTAGCTGGGAATCTTTATATTCCGTTATTTTTATTTGTTCAGTGGATTGAGATGAAGTGGGAAGCCCACATTCTAGCAGTAAAGCTGAACTTCCCTATTACCACAGTTTCAATTTCCTAATCCTTTCAAATTAAACTACTTTCGCAGAAACAGACTATGTAAAAAAAAAAAAAACTCTGTTTTTTGGGGGAGTTAGATGGGAGTAGTGGTGCCGGGGTTTAGAGAAGTTGAGCCTGTGATCGGAAGGTTGCTGGTTCAGACCTCCTGAAGTTAGGTGAAAAGGTGACGCACCCACATCTTCCTCCATCCTCATTTTCCCCGCTCTGGGCCCTTGAGCAAGGCCCTTAAGCCTCCATTTGCTCCCCTGATCGCCCTAGATGGCAGCTCTCTGCTCCACACATGTAAGTTGTGGTAGCTCGGTGGCTGTGTAAGGAAGGTCATCCAGCGTAAAGCAAGTGCCAAGTCTTTGTGCGAATTGGCTTGCTGTGATGACCCATACAAGAAAAAAAGTTTACTTTGGGGAGGTGAGTGCTGGGGAGTGGGTTGTATGTGTATTACTTTGTTCAGTCTCTAATACAAAGCAGGGGTACAATTAGTTGAAGGTACAAATTGACCAAAGCCCATTTGCCTTGCCAAAGATAGGATTTTAATAGTGGCAGTGAATTTTGCATTTTTCCTACCTTCACTTATGCGTTTAATTCATCCATAAATAAACCCTCTGTGGACAGCAGCTTATTCATCTGCAGTAAGGAGATGGATTACATGGCCGTTAAAAACCCAATAAGCTTCCCTCGCTGCGCCTATGTCTCTCCTGCCTGCGCTGACAGCCAGTGGCCTAATGAGTGAATGAAAGGCATTTGTCACTGTTGCCGGCCCTAATAGGAACGTGTTACTTATTCATTACACACATAGATCTGCATTTATTGCCATTCTGCATGCTCTGCTTTGCCCTTGGCCTCAGGGAGGTAATCGGGCACCTGAGCTGTCGGCAGAATTTGTGTGTGTGTGCATAAGTGTATCTTGTATGTTTGAAAGTTTGGTACACTGTTTTATTATGTCAACCTGGAGGTGGATTTAATCACTTTGTTCACAAATGAGTAGCTGAGTGCGTTTGGGGGTTAATTTGAGGAAAGCAGGTCAAAGGTAGCAGAGGACAGTCCTAATGAAACAAATGTGTGTAGGTATGTGGTTTTTCGGGGCCAATGTGCATACGCGTGCATCTTCACACAACATGCTGTATTTGTGTTGATTGTCTTCTTGAGCATCTTGTTCCCTTGAGTTCGAGTAGATGAGGTACAGCGTATAGTGGCTCACGTGAGAGGCCTAAATTAAAAAGTGCGTTAGCGGCTGTAGGTGGGTATGAAACTGTTGTAAATCGTGTTCTGTGCTTTATGGTAAAAAGTTATTTACATCCCAGGGGGCCAACTGTAAAAGAACAAATAATGAGTCACTCTCTATGTGAATTGAGCTTAATTGAGCCCACACACTGAGCCACAGCCTTCTATCATAAGAGGAGAAGCCAGGAAGTGGCTCACGTTGTTTAGCCTTTCAGAACCAACATGTTTACCAGCCCAAAGGTGTGAGGGACTTTCATTTATTCAGCAGCGAGGGAGGTCTCTTTGTTGGTGTCCACAACAATTAATTCAACAGACACCTGATTTTCCTGGCAGCAGAGAGGTGACATCACATATTGTTTGTTACAGGTGGTGCCAGGTGCTCAGCATTTGTGTGTGCGATTTCTTGTGTCTTTGACTTCATGTGTCATATGCGATTCAATATGAGCGCAGCAGGAGTGTGTGACAGATTTCATCACCTGGACGGATCGGTGTTAATGAACATTTTAATCACCTCGCCCAATGCCAGAGCCTGCTGGGTGTCATCGTCTGCCTTTCCCAGAGATAATTATGATAAGATGTGGTTTAAAACAAGGTCAGCTCCAGCGAGATGCAGATTTTTCTATTCGTTGCACTTTTTGCCTTTCATAATATCAAATCTTAGTGTCTTTGAACTTTAAATTTTTTTACTACCTTCACAACACATCTTGTATTTGCTTTGACGACAAAATGTAGATAAAGATTTTCAGTCAGCAATCAATTTTATTTTAAAACTCATATTCATCAATAATTTTTTGTGACCTAAAATCAGTTAAGGTTCATATATACTGTATGTCAAAGGCTTAGTTCTTAATAATCTTTATCTGGACTGGTCTATGTTGTGATAAACTGTAAATGAGACTAGAGGAATCCAGCTTGTGATCTATTTTTAGGAATTTTAGCATCAACAATGCTGAGCAGAAAGATCCCATGGAATTTAGATACTGTATTTTTCACCCTATAAGTCATGTTTTTTTGCATAATTTGCATGCGCTGCGACTTATATGCCAAGGCGATGTATTTATGGATTTGTTCCCCATATTTATAAACCAATTTTTGGCTCAGATATGGCAGTTTTCATTCATTCTGACTGAAAATATTGAACACTACCATCTCCAGCCGCTAGATGGCACTTGAGTAGTATGGCATGCTGTTGTATCATATAATAGGTAAAAGTGGCTATTAATGACACAATTGGCTTGTCATAGTCTGCCACCATCGTACAGCTCGTTTGGAGCAACCGTCATATCCGCTTCATTTTGCTGAACCGCACCGAAGAAATGCAGCTGATTTGACCGTCAAAGTGCATTTATTAAGCAAACGTTAAACTGAGACACACCTTTGCTATAATTTTGAGCAAACAAGTAATTAAGTGTTAATCTTTTTAAATTCTTGTTAAAGTCCTCCTGTGCACGATCCCGCCGGCGCCATTTGGCAGCCAATCAATTTTTGGCACAACATCGGCCCATGTTTCCTGTTTGTCAGCGGTGACACATAATAGATGCAACATATACGATGAAGCGACGTATTTATGGATTTTTCCACTTTATTAGACATATTTGGACCGGTGCGACTTATGGGGCGGCGCGACGTGTACGGCAGAAAATACGGTAGTTAGATAGTCGCAGCAGGTGAGGGGAGCCATTGTCACCACCAGCATTTGATGGTGAGAAGACAGACTCATTTGTCAAATGGACTCCAGCATGATCAGAGGACTGGTTTAGGACAGAAAACATGCAGATCAGACCATAAGAAGCAAATCTGGATTTAGTGTCCGGCCTAAGGGTGTGCATAAAGGAGGCTCCAGCAGCCGTGCGATCTGTGAGCTGCTCACTTTACCTCCTGAACCACAACTTCCTCATTAGTGAGCCATTGTTCCATACTGCATATTTGACAGCGGTTTATCACAGTTTAAATGTAATGTCTTATCATTATTTGTATTGAAAAGGTTACAATCATTAAATGGACCGGTGAATAGATTTAGCAGAACTCTGGGCACTTTTGCCTCATTGGAGTGAGCACACTTATTTCGAGCAAGAAAATAGCAGTCCTAAAAAAGGAGCAATGAAATTGCAGTAGACAATTTATTGACAGAACAGCAGTTTAATATTCACTTTTGAGTTTTTTATAAAACAGATATGGGGTGCACTATTTCTCATTGGCCACAGTTTGGTATGCACCTCATTTTTAGGACCACTCTTCTAGCTTCTACAGATAACAGACACTGGCTTTCTCAGTCGACACTGATCCATTTCCCTGTTGCAGGAGTCCATCATCCATTCATCATCCAGCTGTTAATGCACTCTGCTCATTGCCAGTGGTCTTTATATTAAAGATGGATGTGGATCGAGGGCATTTTAAAGCATGTTGATGGAGCTTCTATTATCCAGGTCATGGTAAATAAAAAAGGGTTTCACTCTTATTTCACACCTGTAAGCATCTGACCAAAGCATGCCTCTTGTGAGCCAAGCATACAAAGAGCCTAACAATCCTCCATTGTGCGGGGCGAGTAGTTCCTGCAGGTGAATCTAGGTACACAACCAGGCCTCTCATGTAGTTCTAGAAAACTGTGAACGCCACACACTCCTGACATTTTAGAATTGATAGGATGGGAAGAGAAACATCAGCTTCAGAGTAAAAGTCCAGTTTTTGTTTTGTAACCTTTTTTTTTATTTTAAAGCATGCATATTTTGACTTTTTAAACTTCCATACCAATGGCAATTTATAACCCATTTGACTTTCTATACATCCAACTGTCACTCCCCACAAAGCTTTTCCTTACTGTCGATGTGAAGCAAACAGGCTCGCGTTCCTGTGTTTCACCTGAAATGGCCGTTGTTGCTTTGCTTGGGCGTATCTTTCTTTAAGTGGTATCTTCCTGTATTTTTCCACTATGGCAGTTAGTAAGTTCATAAAAATGTGCACGCTCTTCTAGATGAGGACAGTGATTTCATGTGCCTAACATATTTGTCTGGTTGTGTGCAGGTGATCCCCGACATCTGTTCCATGATGGTTTGGTTCCAAAACATGACCCTAAAAAATTGTCACAAAACTACTTCTTTTAAGTACTGGAAGAAAAATACATAGATGAAATAAAAACAGCTAAATTGATGGCGCAGTTGGTATAGCTGCCGCTTCTCAGCGAGAAGGTCGCCGGATGGAATCCTGGCCATGGACCTTTCTGGGTGGAGTTTGTATGTTCTCTTTGTGCATGTGTGGGTTTTCTCTGGGTACTCCAACCAGAAACATGAATGTTAGGCTGAATGATGACTCTAAATTGTCCTTAGGTCTGAGTGAGAGTGTGAATAGTTGTTTGCGTCATTTGTCTCTTTGTGTCCTTGTGATGGACTGGAGACCTGTCCAGGGTGTCCCTCGCCTCTCACACAGTAGCTCTGTTTACATGGACATAAGTAATAGGATTAAACGTCCATTTGGAATAAAAATGTGTCATGTAAATGCCCCATTCAGATTATTCTTTGTTGATTCAGCTCGATCCGAATGAATCTGTAATCCGAATGATGTGCATGTAAACACTTCTTAATCTGATCATGAAAACTGACCTGACTGCACATGTGCGACCTATGTCTACCTCACGTATTTCCACCTGGCTAGATGCTAATATGTTGGAGAAGCAACACTGGTCGGTGAGCGATACATTTGTACTAGAAACTTTGAAAAAACTCTAAATGATCTGTATCACCTGTAGCTCAATCAGGGAGTGCAGTAACGTCTCCACCGTCATTAAAATCTGTCGTGGGTCCATTTTGGGCGCTCAGGTTTGTTTACATTCATCATAATAATAATAATAATGTCATCACAATGTCAGCACTGTATGTTTCCATACAATGGCGAAATTAGTCTCTGCATTTAACCCATCCACCACCGGGTGGTGCAGTGGGCAGCTATTGAAAGCGCCCGGGGGACATTTTGGGGATTAGACGTGCTGCCCAGAGACGCCACATCATGGAAGTAGAACTTCTTCTTCAGCGTTTTTTTTAAGGAAAGTTGACCACTCTGCGCATGTCAATAATACTATTCAGAATAAAAGCCCGCTGCATGTAAACGCTCGTCATGATCAGATTGTGCCCATGTAAAGGATACATTTGGATCATTTAATACAAATACATTTCAATCCAATCAAATAATTTTGTGCATGTAAACATAGCTAGTGATAGCTGGATATGGGCATCAGTGACCACCACGAACCAGAAAGGAAGAAGTGGGTAAAGATGATGGATGCATGGATGGATGGAAATAAAAACAAGCATATTGACTGTTAAGTTATAAGATACACACCTCGTAGTTATATAATAAATAGAAAAGTGTGCATTTTGAAGCGTTTAGAAGTGACCTCACCAAAATTTTTCTTTAATTCTTATAGTATATAAAGTAAAATTAAGACATGTTATATCATTATAATGTATAATACAACATCATAAAACATTTTGCCCCTATATATATATTTTTTTAATGCCTTTCCTTTTTTGTTCATTATGGTAAAAGTTCAGATCTTTCACTTGGAACATTCTACCAAAGCACACATCTTGATAAAATCATTAGAGGGATGTTCAGGCTTTCAAACTAGTTGTGCTTAAAATTTGGGCACAGTTCAGTTTAGGGTAGATAGTTCTGATGTTTGTCACCAGTTTTCTTGAAGTGATTCAAGTGAAGGCAACGATTACGGAGATTGGATTAGGCAAAGAAAGACGTTCTAAGTTTAAGGAGAAAAAACAGACCAGAAGTATTCAAATGATGCATCTGGAGATTCATCTTCCTTCTTTGCCTGGGGGTGTTTTTGGATTCACTCGCTTATGCACACATGCCTCCAGGCCATCGGTGTGCTCTGGTTCTTTTGACTAGATGTAATTCACAGCCCACCAACCACACAACTGTGTGTGCTTTGGTAGAACGTGCTTGTTCCCAACTAGCAAACGCACACAAACAGTTTTTTTTTCATTTCTCCAGCACGAGTATTGTTGTTCTTATGTAGCCAGTTGTTTATGTGCTGGATAACGCCACAGCACTGACTTTTTTAGAGTGCTGTCTGGAGGTGAGGGATAAACAGTTCTGGATAGGTATCCTGATGCATGCTTAATAATCCAGGTAGAAAAAATTAACAAAGTTTTAAGTCAGGTCCTCTGGATGGATAAAAAAATAAATTACAAATTAAAAACTTGTTGAAACATTTTGCATTTTATCCAAAATACTTTGTCTTTTGATGGTCACTTGTTCATCTCAGGAGGTTGAGTGATACTAGCAATCACAGCATTGTAAGAGGGGGACAGTTGAACACGTAGGCCTCCACCCCTGTTTAACGCTGGATGATTTCTTTTCACAAAGATGGCCTCCTTTACTCCTCTCTCAAACCATCGTTCCTCTCTGTCCAGGATGTGAACATCTTCATCTCTAAAAGAGTGACCGCTGACCTGGAGATGAGTGTAGACCGCAGAGTCCTGGCCTGATGATGTTGCTCTTCTGTGCTGGTCCATCCTTTTGGCCAGTGGCTGTTTTGTTTCCCCGATGTAAGACTGATCACAGCCCTCCTGACACTGAACAGCATACACAACATTACTCTGTTTGTGCCGGGGGACTGGATCTTTGGGATGAACCAGTCTTTGCCATAATGTATTTTGTGCTTTGAAAGCTACTGGGATGCCATGTTCAGAAAATAAACATCTCAGTTTCTCTGATACTCCCTCAACATATGGAATGACCACTGGTCTGGGTCTGGGTTCCTCCTTTTCACCTGTTGGCTGACTGGAGTCCTGTTTGGGTTTCTTCTCTGCTTTCAACAAGGCCCAGTTAGGATATCCAGAGCCTGTCTTGTGTGGGATTTCTCCTTCTGCCTGGCTCCTGAGTTAGTGTGGACGCTGTCTGCTCTGTGGTACAGAGTCCTGATGACTCCTAACTTGTGTTCCAAAGGGTGATGGGAGTCAAACTGCAAATACTGGTCTGTGTGGGTGGGTTTTCAGTACACACCAGTTTGCAATGTTCTGGATAGGGTGAAGTGAGACAGAGCATGACAGTGTTTCGCCTAGGAGGGCATTGGTGGTAACGTAGCTCTCTGTGACCCCCACCACTCCTAGTAATGTAGTGCTCTGCTACTACTAACACCCCACCCCCCGGACCGACAAGTGCCTTGTTGTACTGACTGTTAGACTTGGACACGTTTTTGTCTCAACACTGTGAAATGAATCGACAAGATAGAGTGGCAGTTAAGTCTGAGCTTTACTTTAAAGACCAGGCAGAGAGTCTGACATCACAAAAAGGTTTATGACCCTCTTCGTTCCCCCTACCCATTAGCCCTACACCAACCAACATATGAGAAACGAGGGTGAATTCAGTGCTTATGCTTTACATTGCAGAAGGGAAGTTAAGTATTATTGAACTGTTTAAAAGGAAGAGGTTTTTAATTTTACACTTGTGGCAGTCCTACCGATTTCCACACCTTCCCACACTTGTTGCAGTTTCTCCGGTTGTAGGAAGTGGACCGTTATGAATGTACTGAAGCTACAGTAATGTAAGTGTCTTGTTCAGCTGTGGGGGATATTAATCATAGGTGATTAGTGCTGTGCGACAGTCGCAGTCGACCTGTGTGGTGTCCCACTCACCGAGCTGATAATGAATTTGTTGGAGCATGTGTTTCTGATGTCCCCTCCCCTCTTCCTGTTATTTAATGAAAATAATATTGTAGCCATGAACACTTATATTTTAACAAATATCCTGACTAATGTGGGCCTTGATTTAGACTTTTACTACAAGACATCAGAAGGTTTGAAATGATATTTAAAAATCAGAATACAATGAAACTAATAAGATGTAATGTTTGATATGTGTTCTCATCTCCAGCTTGATGAAGTAAGGTCGCTTTGGCGTGAACCTTTGCAAGACATTTACCATCTGCAGATGTTCAATTTTCAGGCGTCAGGTCTGAATAAATTTGTTTGCACATGGCACTGTGGGTAATTTTGATTTTGATGTCTTTAGACAGCTGACCCCAGAATATTTTTCAGTTTTTGTTCTGTTTCATTTTCAATAAATGGTGGTGGCAGCTGGAACATGTAACCTGATTGGCCAAGAACGCACATTGTACCCCTCTTCCAACTTTCTTTTTTTTTTTTTAACTCAAAATAATAACTTCAATTTTTAGTCACTTCTTTACAGCTTACATTTGTTGTAACTTTACAATAGTGTTAAATGAAACAAATGGCTCTTTAAATTAGTTGTGTGAAAGACATAATAATGGGAGGCTATTTGATGATTTCTCCCACTCAGATAAGATACAAACTCTGCAAATAGACAAATTTTACCTTAAAATGTTAAAAAGTTCTTATAAACATTTGAAAAAAGGCAGAAAAAAATGTATAATTCATTAATAATTTTCCTGAGTTTGATTGGTAACAAGACGTTGATTAGCCCAGCCAGTTGATACATCTGGACTAATCTTTACATGCAAAGACACCAAACACTATGGAATTTAGCATGAACAAAAGAGTTAGAAAGTTAAAGTTAGTATGTTTTTTTGTACCTCTGAGATCGTTTTCGAGCAAGCTTGTTCAAGAGTAGCACTCAAATAATTTTGGTACCTCGTTTTGTGGAGATTGAACAAACGTAAGTGGTTAAATCAGTCGCAGTAATGACAGGAACAAGAAAAGTACGACCAAATGGAAAAATTATTATCCTCTTGGTTTTTATGTCAGAGTAAATTTCAGAGCGTGCAGAGGCATGAGCTTCTGTTCTTTGATCAGTGTGCTTTCAAATGGGTGGTAAAAGGGCCATTACAGGCCAACAATACAATACAAAGTAAAGCACCGAATGCTCGTGGAGGAGTTGTGTTTTAGGACAGTAAAAGCTATAAAAATGATGTTAAATCATAGCTAGATTTGAAACGCTCCTGCTCGCTGTCAGTCTTCTATTAGCAATATCAACAGTAGTTTATTTTGAAGTGCCTTTCAAGGAAAGAAAGAAC